AAGTGTAAAGAAACTTTGCTCTGTTAAACATCATTTGCTTAAGGGGGCTAATTATTTTGACCTTACAATATTAAAAACTGCTTTTATTCTAGCCGAAATAAAACAAATAAGACTTTTTCCAAAGGAAAAAATATATATTATAGGAACTACTGTGTGAGAAGAAATCCTTCATATGTTAGATTTTTCTTGAGAAATATTTGAAAAGGATGAATATTGCACATAATTTTGCCCTCAGTGTAATTTTGCTGCTCGCACGTCAGTATTTCTTGAGTCCTCCCAAAACGTGTTTGGCGGATCCTGTTATAATCGATTAAAACTCCAACACCTTTATAATAAGAAGCCGATGTAATGTTTGTGTCGGTCAGTCGGTGTGTCTTTAAGAGCGCCTCTTTCTGCTGAACTCAGAGTTCAGCGAGCGGCAGAGATGAAGCTGAAGTGTTCTACCAGCAGGGGCGCTTCGAGGCTCAAAACCGAGATTCTGAAGGGTTTTGTTTATTAAAGGCAGTCGTACGCTAACTGATATAAACATGATAATTCAACTGATTTCTATGTGACGCACAAATGTAATGTTGCTATCAGGGATATAGCTGCAGCCGGACGTTAACAAGAATTATTTTTAGTATTTATTAATTTACCCATTAATTATAGTCTATTCCAGACCAGTGGTTCTCAAACTTTTCATTAAGTAGCACCTTAGAAAAAAATAATCTCTCCAAGTACCACCATAATGAACAGTACCGAAATACATAAGAGTAGGGTGAGTTTGGGTAATCTGGGACACCTAAGCTTCTGTGTGCTTATTTCTGTTCTAACAAAATTCAGACAACAGGACTTTGATTATAAATTCAGCATGGACTTTATGTCAAGTAAAACAAGTAAAACCATCTGATTGGATGACAAGGTCAGTGATGTAGGATTTTACTCGATTCATGTTAGGGACATAAACCTGTCATAAATAAGACAATGTTCCCAATTGTTGTCAAATAATGTTTGTGATTTATTCAAGTTTCGAACATTTCTTTTGTCTCCCACATCATTAAATATGATTGATAATGTGGGACAGCATGGTTTGGGTAATCTGGGACAGACTTCGAATTGGAGAAATACGCATTTAGAGACTTTATAAGTTTAATGACTACAAAGATGAAATGTACAATGTTCTGTGCACAAACACACACACATACACCCTTACACACAGTCTTTCTATCTCACACACACACTCACACCCACACTTACACACACACGCACACATACTCACCCACTTTTTAAAAATTGGTAAAATTGTTTGGCATGCATAAATACTGCAAATATATACTTTTCCAGCCCAAATACATATGTCCCCGATTACGAAGTGACCTGTCCCAGATTTTCAACTTCAGGCAGAAGTTTTGTTTTTGATATAAAAATACTAATAGGTGTGGCATGGCTCTTCTCAATATAATATCTATATTATGTTTTCTTGGGTGGTTAGAAAACATCTTAGGGACTTCAGAAAAGTCTAATATGTGGTTCTAATTAGTTAGATAGACATTAAAATAGAAAGCTGAAGTCAAAATTGCAAAAAGATTACCCGAATTCACCCTAGTAAGCACAGTAAAGCAGCTACAGATCTGCACAGTTCAAAAACGAGGCAGATTCATTCCTATTATAAAGAATATTATTGTCAACCACTTTAAACATTATAAATAGTCTGAACATTAACCCTGTACTGTGCATATATATACATACATACACAGTTAAAGTCAGAATTAGCCCCCCTTTAAATTTTATTTTTAATTTTTAAATATTTCCCAAATTATGTTTAATAGATCTTTACAGTATGTCTGATAATATTTTTTCTTCTGGAAAAATTCTTGTTTGTTTTATTTCAGCTAGAATAAAAGCAATTTTTATATTTCTAAAAGCCATTTTAAGGACAAAATTATTAGCCCCTTTAAGCTATATTTTTTAGAAAATGTACAGAACCATCGTTATACAATAGCTTGCCTAATTACCCTAACCTGCCTAGTTAACCTAAATAAAGTTTAGTCTTTAAATGTCACTTTAAGCTGTATATAAGTGTCTTGAAAAATATCTAGTCAAATATTATTTACTGACATCATGGAAAAGATAAAATAAATCATTTATTAGAAAAATCTTCTCCGTTAAACAGAAATTGGGGGAAAAAAAATAAACAGGGGTGCTAATAATTCAGGGGGGCTAATAATTCTGACTTCAACTGTGTGTGTGTATATGTGTATAAACTAAAAACATCAACATTTAAAAAAAATGTGCTTTTAAAAGTTAAAAATGATAGGTTACTGTTCTTAACAAAAAAAAGTTCTGTACTTAAATGTAAACTAACATACAGTAGCCTATTTATCAACACCTGGAAATATAGGCTATATGTCATCATATTCATATATAAATCATTTTGATGATTTTTTAAATATGACATATTTGATTGCTTCGTTTACCACTAGAAGGAAGCCCGCGTAGCACAGTTTGAGAACCACTGGTCTATTCTATTAACGTCTACCCCAACCCTCACTTTAAAGGTAATTATACAGAGTAGGATATCACTTAAATTATTAATTACTTAAATTACCCATTAAATTGTACTTTATTAACTCCCACCTCAACCCTCATAGTATGCTAATGTAAAAACTGTAATTATACAGATGATTATTCACATTATTTATTAAATTGCAAGCTAAATTGTATTTTATTAACACTTACCCCTTTCCCAGAGATGGGTTGCGGCTGGAAGGGGATCCGCTGCGTAAAAACTTGCTGGATAAGTTGGCGGTTCATTCCGCTGTGGCGACCCCGGATTAATAAAGGGACTAAGCCGACAAGAAAATGAATGAATGACTGAATAACACTTACTCCTACTCTAACTCTAAACCCAACCCTCACAGTAATGTAAAAAAAGTAATTATACGACGTAATATCAGTGGTGTACAGTACCTATAAATACTCAAATTACTGTAATTGAGTAGTTTTTCGCAGGAATTGTAATTTCCCTGCTGAAAAATCCAGCTTAAACCAGCCTAGGCTGGTTGGCTGGTTTTAGTTGGTTGACCAGCCTGGTTTTAGAGGGGTGTTGGCCATTTCCAGGCTGGTTTTCAGCCATTTACAGCCTGGTCTTAGCTGGTCAGGCTGAAAAATGACCAGCTTAATCCAGCTAAAACCAGCTTGACCAGCCTGGTTTAAGCTGGACATAGCTGGTTTTGGCTGGGCTCTCAGCCTGGCTAGGCTGGTCAAGCTGATTTTAGCTGGTCATCTCCCAGCCTGACCAGCTAAGACCAGGCTGGAAATGGCTGGAAACCAGCCTGGAAGTGGCCAAAACCCCTCTAAAACCAGCCTGGTCGACCAGCTAAAACCAGCCAACCAGCCTAGGCTGGTTTAAGCTGGATTTTTCAGCAGGGTTACTTTATTATTTCGTGTCTTTGGGGATTAGAAAAATCAGACCTGTGATCCCAATCAAATCACACTTATCTTTACACGCATTGACCCAGAGACTGTTTGCATGATGATGAGGAGATGATGGATGTTTACTGTATGATGACCAAAATGGCCTTAAACTTCCAGGAGGCACAAGACGTCAGCATGATGTTAGATTGACCTTGTACCTCAAAGTCGTGGGGACGTTGCATTTTGTTTGGAAATGAAAATCAGGTTAAAGTCAGAACTCAATGTCAGGCCAACGTTAATGTTCAACCAAAATCAATCAAATATCTTCAATAAAATATTGACAAACCTCTCATTTACACATAAAGATGTAATTGAAAGCCAAAACTTTAAAACAAAAGCTAATAGCCTAATGCTAACGTTACCTCTGCTAAGATGCTAATAGACCAAAGACATGTGGTTGCAACCATCTCTATAAAATACATATTTAACAGAAATATGTTAATACCAGTAAGAAAAGTGTCAGGAACAGTTGTATGTATTATTTGTGTGATTTTAGCAACTAAACTTACCTGAAATTAGTGAAAACTACAGCATGAGAGAAATTTTGTTGACGGTTAGGTGTCGTGTCATTGCTCCATTTCCATGACAACGCTCTCTGCTGCAGTGCTTGAATGAGGCTCGGTAATGAGCACTTTAAAGTCATGCAGCATTTACAAAACGTTTAAACAGTTCATAAACAATTTTAATAATGACATTTAATATTAAATCTTGATTTTTTTTAAACTTATTTCTTTGTTTTAATAATAACCTGTTATATTTAAAATATCTTGCAGTTTTTTTATACTAAACCTTGCTTTTATTAATAATTATATTTTTATTCAGTGCCTCATTCATTTTAAATGTAAAACAAGTGTTAATCAAAAGTACTTATGTACAGTTTTCTACAACATTAAAAACACACCACTGGGTGGGCCATGTCGGCGGTCCGCCAACTCATTTCTGGTCTAATGATGTTACAGCTTGACGTTGTGCGGAGGATACTATGATATTAGACTACTCTGATATACTACTTTATTACACGCTGGATTTTGCTTGACATACCTGACGAATAATTTTTTTTTGTCAAAATAATTTTAAACACTGTTGCTGTCGCAATGGTGATTCGAAGCTATTGGGCTGACATAATTTGAGAATTTAACTGCAAACAAAGACAGCAAGTGCATTTTCAGATTTTAATTGAAGATTTCAAGGGCAAACAACTTTGTTACCTTCTTAATGACATGCACAGTCGAATTGTTCACCACAAAACTAGCTATATGAGCTAACAAAAACAATACGGTTAATTGGTTTCATTTGTACTTTAATGAATCTATACATTCCTATGTACACAGTGAGCGAATTAGCGGGCAAATTGGTGTTTGTGAATAAAACCTTTCACACGTCGAATCTAATCTAAAAAAAATAAAAAAATAAATCCTCGTCAACGGCAATAACAACATCCGGTCGCCTAGCCCCGCCCTCCATAGAATCTCGGATGCTAGGCTAATCGCTTTTCTACTCATTTCCACCATTTCGATGAATCAAAGCTGCTCATGTTTCTATTCAGAGTATAAGCAGGCAAGACAAGAGAGCCGTATGAGAGAGGGTGAGAGATAGAGACAAAACCCCCAAAGTGTCGAGAAAGCTTCAAAGTCTCACAGTAAGTAACATTACGCGTGCTTTATCTGTCAAACGTATGTGCAGATGTGACGTATGCCAGAGCCGTGACGTGATAAACCGGAGAGTTTTTGCGTCATGTTTGAGAAACACCAGCGCTTTTTGACGTCAGGGTGTTTATAAGGCTAGTTTCTGAAGAAGACGAGTCGCGGAGGCGTTTATACAGAGCTTTTTCGTTATTTTCGTGTGTTTCATTGGAGTGAAGCGATTAAACAACGCGCCCGAAAAGTTTCCCAGTCTTCTGCATTCCAAAGCTGTAGTTAATTTGCCTGAATGTGACGTAACTGAATTATGTTTGTCAATTTTAAGTAGAAAACATGGAGCAAATTGATTTTATTAGGGGTTAAACTATTAATAATACGCCGTTTTTATTGCGATGACGTTAGCTTTTTGCGTTGTGTATGGAAATTATACAGTTTGTCAGTGTGTGATGATCCATTAAGGAATCAGCATCATAATAAATAGACTAAAGTGATTTTATATAGGCTACTGTACATTAAAACCATATCAAGCGTCTACTTTAAGGTTTTAAATAACTTTTTGGAAGCTTATGTTGATATAATGTCATGCAAGTGTTGCAGGTATGTTTATGTAATGTTATAAACTAAGCAACATACTGTAAAGTTAATGCTCAATATAATACAGGCCTGTAGCCATCATGGTGAAAGCTGTGGTTCTTTTTTTTCTCAAAAAGTGGACTTTTTTAAAGTATTCTTCTCATTTTCTATATAATTTTGAGACTTTAGTGACATTTAAGCACTATTTTTTAGCTGGATTAGCTTGTCGGATGGTCATAATAACCACACTTTTTGATGTACCAAAAATATTTAAGCAATTCCAGGGTTATGGATGTGACATTTACAGTAAAAACTCAAATAGAAATTCACATAGAAAGTATATGTTAACATTATACTGAAGCATCTGTTTATATTTTCCAGAACAACTGACCGCAGAGTTGTGGGATCAGAAAAATATCAGTCTGTAAACATGTTTTATTTTTGAAATGAGGAATATAAGCATTCGTTATGAATGTGACCGAAAGTTAGCGAGTTTACAGTATACAGCAAATTTTGTAGAAATTCTATGAATTAAACTGCACAACCCTGCGTTATGTATGTGACGAATGTGAAATTGCCACTTGTGTGACTTTGGTAAATTAAATATAATAGTTTGAAAACATCGACAGAGACATTTTTGAGTATTCTTTAAGTACTGTAACATATTTGCTTACACAAAAAATGTAGAAACGATCCATATTTCTATATTTTGGTGAAAACTTTATTTTTTTCCTGGCAAGGTTGACATTTGCATGGACTTGCTCATTTTCGAAAGATTTAAAAGTACTTATTGTTAAAATACAAATGTATTACATAATAAATCGTTAGAAAAATTAGGAATCTGTTAAAGTTTTAAATTAAAAAACTGTGTGGGATTGTCATTTATTAGGAAAATAACTGGCCAGCTCATTTAACTTTCCTCAGTTACAAATTGGCATTTGAATAAAAAAAATAATGAAAACATCATAATAATATTAATAATAACAATAATAATAATGTAGAGCTTCATGATTTTTCTAGCCTCTCTTTAAAAAAAAAAAGTACATTTGAAAATTCATGGATAACAACAATAGTTGTCGTCTCACAACAAGAAGGTCGCTGGGTCGAGTCTTGGCTGGGTATTTCTGTGTGGAGTTTGCATGTTCTCCCTGTGTTCGCGTGGGTTTCCTCCGGGTGCTCCGGTTTCCCCCACAAGTCCAAAGACGTGGTACAGTTGAATTGGGTTGGCTAAAATTGTGCGCAGTGTATGAGTGTGAATGAGTGTGTATGGATGTTTCCTAGTAATGGGTTGCAACTAGAAGGGCATCCGCAGCGTAAAACATATCCTGGATAAGTTGGTATTCAAATACATTTTTTTTTATATGGGCCACTTTTGGTGTTTCACACCTTTTTATTGGTAATGTTTTTGTTTCAAGAGTAAGGTCCAAGATTTAGAATAAATTAATAAATTAATTCTTTATTTAAAAACAATACAGCAGTGAAAGATGACTTCCTTAACGTCAGATTGCAAAATGTAAATATATGTTAGCAATGGCCAAAACTGATTAGCTGAAGTCACACTGAAGCAATAGCCAACAGAGGATTCTGCTTGGTCTTTTATGATGGGTAATTTTCACTATTTATGATGGCGTAGCAGTCAAGTCAAATAATCTCATGTATGGATGTTTCCCAGTAATGGGTTGCAGCTGGAAGGGCATCTGCTGCGTAAAACATATCCTGGATTAGTTGGTCCAAGTCAAAATAGCATTCAAATAATTTTTTTTTTAATAAATTAATTCTTTATTTAAAACCAATACAGCAGTGAAAGATGACTTCCTTAACGTCAGATTGCAAAATGTAAATATATGTTAGCAATATATGTTAGCCGGCAGCTAGCTCTCTGCAACTCTCACATGGTCGCCCACTGAAGCTAAGCAGGGCTGCGCCCGGTCAGTACCTGGATGGGAGACCACATGGGAAAGCTAGGTTGCTGCCGGAAGTGGTGTTAGTGAGGCCAGCAGGGGGCGCCCAACCTGCGGTCTGTGTGGGTCCTAATGCCCCACTATAGTGACGGGGACGCTATACTGCTCAGTGAACGCCGTCTTTCGGATGAGACGCTAAACCGAGGTCCCGACTCTCTGTGGTCGTTAAAAATCCCAGGATGTTCTTCGAAAAAGAGTAGAGGGTTTAACCCCGGCATCCTGGCCAAATCTGCCCACTGGCCTTTGTCCATCATGGCCTCCTAACCATCCCCATATTCAATTGGCTGCATCACTGTCTCCTCTCCACCAATCAGCTGGTGTGTGGTGTGCGGTCTGGCGCAAAATGGCTGCCGTCGCGTCATCCAGGTGGATGCTGCACACTGGTGGTGGATGAGGAGATTCCCCCCACTGTGTAAAGCGCTTTGAGTGCCCAGAAAAGCACTATATAAATGTAAGGAATTATTATTATTATTATTATTAATGGCCAAAACTGATTAGCTGAAGTCACACTGAAGCAATAGCCAACAGAGGATTCTGCTTGGTCTTGTTTGATGGGTTATTTTCACTATTTATGATGGCGTAGTAGTCAAAATAGGACAAATAATCTCATGTATGGGACAAATTCTGGACCTTTGTCAGTGAGGGGTGGGTTTTCCGACCCGGCTACGGGCCTGTAATGTGTGACCCTGGACCACAAAATCAGTCATAAGTAGGCCCACAGGGGATGTGCAGAATTTTAGCCCATCATTGATTCTTGCGTAAATGTGTGTACTTCTATATTTATTCAGTTTTTAAATTAATTTTAGTAATATTATTGACTAATGGGGCGACGCAGTGGCGCAGTAGGTAGTGCTGTCGCCTCACAGCAAGAAGGTCGCTGGTTCGAGAGCCTCAGCTGGGTCAGTTGGCGTTTCTGTGTGGAGTTTGCATGTTCTCCCTGCCTTCGCATGGGTTTCCTCCGGGTGCTGTGGTTTTCCCCACAGTCCAAAGACATGCGGTACAGGTGAATTGGGTAGGCTAAATTGTCCGTAGTGTATGAGTGTGAATGAGTGCGTGTGGATGTTTCCCAGAGATGGGTTGCAGCTGGAAGGGCATCCGCTGCATAAAACATATGCTGGATACGTTGGTGGTTGATTCCGCTGTGGCGACCTCAGATTAAAGGGACTAAGCCGAAAAAGAAAATGAATGAATGAATGATTATTGACTAATGTTCATATGATTTCTGTACAATACAGTTTATAATAGGGCTGCATGATATTGGACAAATCTGATATTGTGATATTTTGTCTGCGATGAATATTACGATATGAATACAGTTTCAGAAGTTTCAATCGCACTATTTGGCGGTTTTCTGGGGAGTCGAACAGTATTCAGAGAAATTGAAAAATCACAATGCAAAAAAAAGCTTTTATAAACTTGTTTCTTGTTCAAATACAACAATTTCTTTAGACCAAGTAAAATTATTGTTTAGTTTTTACCGTCAGAAGAAATAAGTGAAAATGACTTGTTTAAAAGGAAATGATCTGCCAGCGGAGATATGTAGATATGTGGACTAGAAACAAGACAACAATTCTAAGTATTCATTCCTTCATTCATTTTTAATGTCACTGGTTCGAGTCCCAGCTGGGTCAGTTGGCATTTCTGTATGGAGTTTGCATGTTCTTCCCCGTGTTGGCGTGGGTTTCCTCTGAGTGCTCTGGTTTCCCCCACAGATCAAACACATGTGCAATAGGTGAATTGATGAACTAGATTGGACCGTAGTGTATGAGTAAGAGTGTATGGGTGTTTCTCAGTACTAGCTTGCAGCTGGAAGGGCATCTGCAACATATGCTGGATAAGTTGGCGGTTCATTCCGCTGTGGTGACTCCTGATGAATAAAGGGACTAAGCCGAAAAGAAAAATGAAAGAATAAATATATAAGATAATATATATAACAGGGAATACTGTGAAAAATGTCCATGATCTGTTCAACAGCATTTGGGAAATATTTGAAAAAGGATTGAAATTTGACACAAGGACTAATAATTTTGTCTTCAGTTTTAGTTAAAATTTTTAATAAGCTGGTGATATTTATTTTGTTTATATTAAAACACATTTCCTTTATTTAACTCAGATTAGTTTTAATTAATTTGTTAATTTTTTATAATTAGTTATTTAAATAAAGGTTATGTTGTAATATGTAATGACATAATCTTTATTTTACATTTTTTTATTTTAATAAGTAAAATGTCATTAAAAATCAAATAATGCTAGTAAACTCACTTTTTTGTTTTTATTTTATTATCAGAATTTTAAAACAATTATTTTTTATTAATGAAATAAACAATTAAATTAATGATTTGTATGTGCAATGATTTATAAATGCATTAATTATTAATGTCAAAAATTACATGTTATATTTTAGTTATTGAAATTGGTTAAGTTGTCTTATTAAAATATTGGCTAATGGTACAATTAATATTGATTAAAAATGACATTAAAATATATTATATAACTATTATTATTATTATTATTATTATTGAATAATAATATTTATAATAATAAGAATTATATTTTAATAATACTATTGATAATATAATATAATCATTTTTATTAGTGTTGTTGTTGTTGTTGTTATTAATACAATGTTAAATTATTATTAGCATTATTATTATTGTCATTATTTCATTAGGAATATCATATTATAAATTTGTTTTAAGACAGCATTAGTTCATTATCCATTAGAAATAGTGTTAAAATGATGATTTTGACTGAATCTTGGGTTTGTCAGGACACCGTTAGACTTGAATCTTATCGTCACTGCACATTTTGGGTTATTGGTTGTAAGACTCATGTATCCCCATCGCATGCGCTTCATAACCAGTAAAATGAATGAATGAATGATTATTATAAGGGCTGTAATGCTTAAATAGATTAATTGAATAAGACAGCAGGCTATATGCTAAGCAAGTTTTTTTAGCCACCTTCCGGTGAAAGGTTAATGTGACTATTTTCAATTTCAGAAGATTTCTTTTACAACATCTATAACTCAATTTCATTGAAATATATGTGTGTGTTTGTGCGCAGGTGTGAGGGGTTTTGGTCAGGATGCGGCCGGCTCTGTTCCTCTGTCCCGTCCTGATCTCTGTGCTGTTTCTTCTGTCCTCTCTGAGCCTCATCAGCGGCTGTAATAAGGCTCTGTGTGCCAGCGACGTCAGCAAATGTCTGCTACAGGTCAGAGGCTTTTTCTTTTGGAAATGTGCTTTAGATATGTGCTGCTCATCTCATTTATTAAAAAAAGACCATGAGAAACATTCAATTGGTCAATTTCATTGGTGATATTTTTAAAAAGTGTTTACAGAATTATTCGCCCTCCTGTGAAATTTCAATCGTTTTTCTAATGTTTCTCAAATGATCGTTAACTGAGAGACTTTTTTTCAAAAAATTATTAACCATAATAGTCACTGTCTTTTGTCTTTGTAATGATGAAATGTTTAAAAATGTGCTTTATATCCTATTTATTTATTTATTTATTTATACATGTATTTATTTATTTATTTTTATTTATTATTTAATAATTTATTTAGTTATACAAGTATTTATTTATTTATTTATTTATTTATTTATTTATTTATTTATTATTTATCTATGTGTTTGTTTATTTTATTTTATTTATTTATTTGTTTATTTTAGTAAAAATTTATTTGTTTATTTATTTATTTGTTTGTTTGTCTGTTTGTTTATTTATTTTATTATATTCATTTATGTGTTTATTTATGTATGTATGTATGTATGTATGCATGTATGTATGTATGTATGTATTTATTTATTTTATTAATTAATTTATTTGTTTATTTATGTATTTATTTATTTGTTTGTTTGTTTAATTATTTATTTATTTTATTATATTTACTTATTTATGCATGTATTTATTTATTTAATTTTTTAAATTTTTTTAATTTAATTTGTTTATTTATGTATGTATTTATTTAGTTAGTTTTTTAAATTAATTAATTAATTAATTAATTAATAGTTTGATTATAATTTATATTGTATGTAGTTTATTATTTATAGTTATCAAAATGACTGTACAATGTCCTTTCAGAGATTTAAAATCAGATGAAAGTTTTATGAAGAGTGTACAATGGGTTTGTATGTTTTGAGTGTACAAAACATACTGCAAAATCAAATCATGAACATCATCCATTTTGGGCAGCATGGTGGCTCAGTGGTTAGCACTGCCGCCTCATAGCAAGAAGGTTGCTGGTTTTTGACCAGTTGGTATTTCTGTGTGGAGTTTGCATGTTCTCCCCATGTTGGCGTGGGTTACAGTCCAAACACATGCACTATAGGTGAATTGGTCAAACTAAATTGGCCGAAGTGAATGATTGTGTATGGGTGTTTCCTAGTACTGGGTTGCGACTGGAAGGGCATTCTCTGTGTAAAGCATATGCTTGAATAATGGTGACCCCTGATGAATAAGAGACTAAGCCAAAGAAAAATGAATGAATGAATGAATAAATGAATGAATGAATAAATGATTAATTATATAATGCTTATATCGAATATATGTCAGCAGTCCTTAAAGTCAGTTGAAGCTGTCCAACTTATCCAGCGTTTTACACAGCGGATTCCCTTCCAGCCACAACCCAGTACTGGGAAACACTTATACACACACACACACACACTCATACTCCACGGCCAATTTAGTTTATTCAGTTCCTCTATAGTGCATGTGTTTGGACTGTGGGGGAAACTGGAGCACCCGGGGGAAACCCACACCAACACGGCAAGCACATGCAAACTCCATGCAAACTCCATGCAAACTCCATGCAAACTCCATGCCTGCTAGCCCAGCCGGGACTCATACCAACGAACTTCTTGCTGTGATGCGACAGTGCAAACCACTGAGCCACCCTGCTGCACTTTAATATATCAATAAAGCAACACATAGTTTCAAATAAATTCCTTTTCTGTAGCCCAGAATTGAAGTCAGATGGAAAATCCCTGCAGGTGTCTGAAAAGCGTCTCAGCAAGAAATATTTGAGAGTGAAACCTGAGAAAGATGTTTTCGTTTCCTCACTCCTGGAATCAGAACAGACCAAATTCTTCTCGGATACTTTTCTAATATAAAAAATGGTAATATTGTGATCAAACTCCACACTGAGGGGTTTCTTCATGTCACCTGAGTGAAACGATGATGATTCTCTTCTGCACAAACTCTGTGCTTGTTTGAAAGCATTGGGTGTAGCTCAGTTTATACTGGATCACTTTTTCCCTGGAGCGTAACGACAGCTGTGTGTGTGTGCGTGTGTGTGTGTGTGTGTGTGTGTGAGAAAGAGTTTTTTTATGTATGTTTGATATATTGAGTGTTGATTTTATTTTAAATTAAGATGTCTGTCCTTACAAAAAAACTTTGGTGTTGATACTGTGATGATATCAGATGACAATGTCCTGGGGCCTCATGTACGAAGACTTGCGTGGAAATCTTACTAAAACATTGCGTACGCACAAAGCTGTAAATGTGCGTACGCAGAAAAAAATTCAGATGTATGAAACACTGCGTACGCTGAATCTCACGCATATTCTTTTGTACATCTGAATGAACGTGAAACTGAGCGCAACATGCACGAGCACAAAACCCCTCCCTGCCTCCTCCCCCGTATGAATATGCTAATGACTCTACTTTGGCAAAACCCAACAAAAAAGCAATGGCAAAATCAAGCAAAAAGAGAAACTTTGAACAGAATGTGAAATAGAGGTGCTGCTTTCGGAGGTAGACCGGAGAAAAACGGTGTTATTTACAAGTTTGTTCTCCGGAATTAACAACAAAAGAAAAAAATAGAGTGGGAGAGTTTAGCTGATGCGGTGAACACAGTTGGGTCTGAACATCGCACTGAGTGCATTTAAAACAGAAATAGTGTGGTTTATAACTGAAAAATGTTGCAGTACCCTTAGCAGTCTCAGTGGCGCACCTCATAAGAAGCATGTGATCATGAATTAACATGTTCGAGCATTAACTCGGCTCGAATCCAGCGTCTAATGAATTCTTTCTTTTTTTCCCCGCTACATATCAGATTTTGCCCACTATTTATCAAGAGAAAGACAAGTAGGAATCATCAATAAGTTTGTGCATCATATTTTATTTGCACATTTATTGAATGGAAATGTTTCTGATTCACGCATGCAAATTCATCTTCAGATAGTGTCTTTATAGCAATGTGCGTGCAGTAGAGAGCTCAGATTACATTGGGAAAACAGGCGACCGCTGCAAATTGTGCTTTAATGTTTAGCTGGTCAAATGTATGGTATGGAAATCTTACATACCTACTATATGAACCCGTCTCATACAGCTGCCATTGCAAGGCTCAGACACTTTGTAGAGAGGAATTTAACACAACTGCCTTTAGGAGTCGCCAATGGAAATAAAACAGACACGCACAAAAAATGTGCGTACGCCAGCCAGAAAGCTGCCGTGAAGCTGCGCACATTCCCACGTTCAGTTCATTGTTAGTAAATCCAAACGTGAGCGATTCTGAGCGTGAAACCTGGCGTACGCAAAGTTTTTGTGCGTACGCAGCGTTGATACATGAGGCCCCTGGTGTTTTGACAGGTGGGACTTTTTAATGCAAAGGTGCAGAATATTTAATTAATTTTTAATTTTTGTGTTTTGTTTTTTGTTTTAGTTGTGTCTGCTTATCTGTGTAAATGCTTATTTTGTTTTATTGTATTTAGTTTTTATTAGTTTATTTATTTTTAGTTTTATCTTTTTATTTGCATTTTGTTTATTTTTTAAAACATAAAAGAACAGATGCGTCCTACAGATGGTTAAAGTGTCATTTCATTATATAAAGACCTGATAATAAACATTATTTTAAACAGAACAAATTATTATTATCAAATACTAGTAATAAAAAATGAAGAAGATTTAAGTTATAATTAAGTTATATTCTTTTTCTCTTTTATTTTTTGTCTGTCTGTGTCTGTCTGTCTGTCGTGTTTCTGTCTGTCTGTATGTCTGTCTGTCTGTCTGTCTGTCGTGTTTCTGTCTGTCTGTATGTCTGTCTGTCTGTGTCTGTCTGTCTGTCTGTGTCTGTCTGTCTGTCTCTCTGTCTGTCTTTCTGTCTGTCTGTCTTTCTGTCTGTCTGTCTGTATATCTGTCTGTCTGCCTGTCTATCTCTGTCTTTTTCTCTTTTTAATATGTAATTAGATCTGCATGTGGTGTGTGTGTGTGTTTGCCCTCGCTGTCTTTCCTCCAGTCTGTGTATATCGCATTGAGACTCTCAGAGGATGCAAGTCTCTTCTGTGTGAGAAATAAACACATGACGTTACACCAGTAAACATTCTTGCACACCGAGGAGAAAAACCTGCAATAGAGCTGAAATGTATTTTTCTTCTTCTGTAAACTGTGTGTTTGGGATGTTGTGTGGTTTCTAGGGAGCGTCTATAATGTTTTAAAAGGTTGTCAAGGCATTACAGTGTCTCGGCTGGTTACTAGGACACTGCTAAGATGTTCTGAATTGTATTTATGTTGATTTAAAACTAAGGGCGGCACGATGGCTTAGTAGTTAGCACTGTTGCCTCACAGCAAGAAGGTCACTGGTTCAAGTCCCGGCTGGACCAGTTGGCATTTCTGTGTGGAGTTTGCATGTTCTCCCTGTGTTGGCGTGGGTTTCCTCCGAGTGCTCCGGTTTCCCCCACAAGTCCAAACACAAGCACTATAGTTGAATTCAATAAGCTAAATTGTCTGTATGATTGTTTGTGAATGTGAGAGTGTATGGGTGTTTCCCAGTATTCGGTTGCGGCTGGAAGGGCATCTGCTGCGTAACACATATGCTAGAATAGTTGGTGGTTCATTCCACTGTGGCAAAGGCAGATAAATAAGGGATTATAGGAAGGAAAACAAATGAATAAATGAATATTTGTCATATTTATTACATTTTTCTGGGCTTTTACAAGTCCATGCTAATGTATCATGCCACATCTGATGAAATAAATGTAAATAACGTGAAGAGGTGAAGGTTGCCCGCAGGGTGTTGCTACTGTAGGCTGTCCGAAATCTAAGGAAAGCTTTGTGTGAATGTGTGTGTGAATGTGTGTCTCTAGGTGGGGCAGCTGAGGTTGTTTTAGTCACACATGAATGCTCTGTGGGGCAAGGCAGCACACGTCCAGTCCATACACACACACACACACACACATATACACTCTCAGCACTTTCACATTGAAGCACAAAC